ATTAAAATTCTTGATTAAATATTTCCTCCTATTTCATATTTCATCTATTTCTGCGCATGCTTTACTTTCACAGTTAATATTTCATGTTAATTCTTGAATCTTATATCTCCTCTTCTTGAATTTTATATTTTTCCTATGGCACAATCTTGATCACATTTAAGGTTCTTCCTGGTTGTGCTGTATTTGTGCGCGTTTTTTTTTACATTTAAATAAAGATGCTGCAAAGAAGATAGGCCATTTTTATAGAAGCGTTATTTCGAATAAATCGAGACGCCAATTGATTACGAACGTAAAACGATGTAAAGAGTGTATTTGCGCTTTGGGATGGCAAATACGAAGGGTCAGAAAGGGAATCGGGAAACAGTAATTTCTTTCAGAAATATTACTCGTTAAGAGCTCGGTGTAGCCGCCCGTTTCAGTTACCGCGTATAATTTCTCGATGAAGGCCGATTTGTCGCAGATATAGTTGACCTCGTTTCTTCTTGCTTCGCACGCTGGCAGAGCGCCGCTTTTTATTGCATTTCTATATCCGTGAAATACAACCTCCGTTCAAGCCGTACATTCGATACGTACTGTATTGGCTAATTAATTTCGCGGCTTTTATGTAATACTACTTAATATGAATTATTAGAAAATCTTCTTCGCTATTATCCCATAGCGTATATTGGGAGTATGTGAGCGAAAAGACCGTAAGTCAAATTAAAATGTCAAAATAATAGTAATTCAATAATTCCCTTTCAATCAAATTGATCCTTTCGAGAGCATAAAGTATGCACAATTTCGAAGCTTTTGTATAATAATTATAAAATCGCTATTGCGCGCTTTATTTGATGAAATATTAATAAAGCAGGAAAAATCGTAATAATTCATTATTTCGTTCGTTATTTTCCTGGAAATAACAGGAAAATTTGATTATTTATCATTTTATGCGTATAATGTGCAGCGTTCTTGCTTTTTTTTTTCGATTTTTGGTACTTTTGTAATATTACAAAATCATAGCTACATTTGAAATAAGCAAATGAAAATGCTTGCGGGTTGTTGAACATTTCGTAGAATTTCGTAATGAGCGAATAAAATCATATATCTCGAACACGACCGCGCAAATTTCACATTACGAGCTAAACGTGGTTAAAAAAATATGCATTAAATGATTCGAGACACGCGATTTGCGCGTTGGCCATCTCACGAAGTTATAAACCATCGATTTCCTTCGTAAACGGAAAAACCACAGGATAACTCAACGATATAAAGCACGATACAATCATATTAAAAGTAACGTAATGGCTCTTACTGCTGCTGCGTATGTAGTATGTCTAATTAGTAACCAGAATACTAAAACGCGGAAAGACATGCTACGCGACGATAGACAACTTTTTTCATTTTTTTTTATTGTAGGTAGAAACCAGATATAGCTCGTCCCATTTCTGTGATTTATTTTATTTAGTAACACGATATTATTAGCCAAGATAGTCAAATGTGTTAATTTAACGAGACAAATAGAAAATATCTTTTGATTTATATTCACTTTCGCAATTAGTACAATAATTGGATTAACAAGCAAGTTAAAATCGTGCCGAGTTGCGAAACTCTTTGCTATTAAATCCTTCAAACAAAATTTACAGAAACAATTTAATAGTACGCATTCATTTTACTTGAAAATTGTAATGTACGATTAAGAATCGAGATGCATACAAATTAATTTATCCATGTAATTAACTTATCTACTTTCGATGATCAGTTATGCAATACCCATCGGCATGTTTCTGTATTGGCATTTCAAATGTAAGGGTTAATATTGTGCACTTATAAGTAGGTCAAACCTTGCAACGAAAATGTTTTACATAGTAAATAGGAAATATGTAACAACGGAGATTAGTATTGTAAGCCTCGTGAAAAAACGGACTTAACGAACTCATAACTTTACGAACAACCACGATTTCTTCCTTAATAAAGATTCATTGAAAAAATTTGTTACTTAAACAATTATTACAAAATAATGTTTACACACACACTATAAATATTCATAACATATATATTCTCCTAGTAATCCTGCAATTTGTATAATAGAATTTGTGTATAATGTAGAAACAACAATTAAAAATTTGGATTTCGATTTTAATCCTCCAAAGCTGACTATTAATCAGTTCAGTTATAAATCTTTTTGTCAAAAATATTTGTCAAATAATTCAGTTTTCTTTATATATCATCACAAGAAAATTTGGATTATTCTTATTAAAATATACTTAGTATTCATTCTTTTTTATAGGAGTAATGTCATTTTAAATCCTTGAAATTAATTAATGTCTTTTAATTAACATAAATTAATCTTTCAACAAATAGATTTAATACACAAGTAGGCTGCTCAGAAAACCTAGAAAAAGTTTAATTTTGTAGTCATATTTTTTATAATACTAGTATATTATGTTATGATTTACATTAGTTATCTTTATGAAATAAAAAAATGTAAAAATAATGAACTTTAAGATTGAGCATCTAGGAAATATTTTTTATTTTTCTTTTCTGGAATAAAGTTTTAAAGAAAACTATACTTAGAATGCTGTGATCACCCTATCTATCCACTGAATTGAGTCTGTAGGACCTATTTAACTTGTAATGGGTAGATCATAGCATTCTAAGAGTATAACTTTTTAAAACCTTATTCTAGAAAAGGAAAATAAAAAGTATTTCCTAGATGCTCAAGCTTAAAGTTCATTATTTTTACATTAATCCGTTAGAATTGTGTCACAGACTTCGATGTCAGTTCCGGAAGGTAAATAAAGATAGCTGAATGAATGGGGAAAAAGAGAACGATTATATATGGTTATATCACGTAATCGCGATTTATGCGTAAATCCTTACAAATTTTCCGAAATGTCTACCAACTGAAATTTATTCGCGAAACGGTTGTTTCTTTCTAACAAATAAAAGCTTTGGAAGCCGAGAGTCAACAAAAAGAATAGGGCAGCTATACCCATAGATATTGGAGAGAACTTCTGCGTGTCGAACTCCAACGTTTAACATGGTATCGGCCGATCCCCTACATGTGCGTGTTTCACTGGCGAACAACACAGCCCTTCACTCTTACTTTTCCTTGCGTTGCGTATCGCCGGGCCAGGCGGACTCGGTGCCGCGCCGCTGCCGCTCATGCATAAGCGCATGTGACCGAGTTTCGGCGGAATATGATCGACCGCGCGAAACTCGGTCAAAGACCACCGACACCTTTCCGCGACTCTGCCTGTGTAGGGGTGCCGGCACGATCCGAGCGAAATTCCCGCCCCGTCCGCGAGCGTCCGCAAACGCGATCGTTTATCACTGCACGTGTTTATCTTTGGCGATTTCCTAACCGCAAAAATCACCCTATATAAAGAAATTAATCCATATTTCTCCTAGTTTCTCCTTGCTAGGAGGTTAAGCCTCTCTGCGGGAGAAACGAGATCCTTTACGTTTATTTTAGCGCAAAGGAAGGATCTTATACTCTTAAACGTGGATATCAAATGTTGTAATTAGTATTACAAGTGAAAGATTAGTATTACAAACGGCACTGTTAAGGATGTATCGGGTGTACAGAATGACAGGAATTGGATATTTATATGCTTTTCGTATAAAAGTGAAATAACGAATATTATATGAAATAGTTCAACGAGGTCGATATTTAATATCAACTTTTTTTATATAATAATACAATTTTATCATTTAAATAAAAATTTCTTATTTTATCTTAATTATTTAAAAAAAAAATGTTTACTAATTGCAAACATTTTTCATCTGAGCCCTAAATCGCTAAACTTTTTATTTTATTTTTGGATATATACTAAAAAAATCTGTAGTTTTTTTTATAACTGTTTCATTTTGTGAAAAATATATGTAATACATTCTTAATGTAATAGTATACTCGTACAATAAGAATATTTTTATCAAATATCATTTTATAAAAATATTTTATATTATGTATGAAAACATTCCTATAGATTTCGCGCGCGCGGCTATATAAATTCTAGATTTTTTATATTAGAACAAGAGGATTCGACGGTACTCATCTGGTTTCTCTGTTTTTGTTGCAGATAAAAATCGACCGACTCGAAGACTAGACTATGTTATTTCGGATAACGGATTGATCGCACCCGTCGCTTCACTTACACGTGAGTATGCATTTTTCAAAGGAGTGGTAGCCAATTTGCAAGAGTAGCTCATTTATTCTGTGACATTACTCACTAATGACTTCCACGTGGCCTCGCAATATTCAGGGCAATACGCTAACTGAAATATCAGAAAGAAATACACTAATCACGTTTCTATAATTAAGACTTACGTCAGGTTGGACATATGACCTTATGCTTAAAATCGTATCTGTCGCCATTGAACTTTCGCACTTTTGTACCTTGGAAAATGTCGAAAACACAGACTTTTAATGCATAATGTCATTCCAAGAAACCAGCTAGTTATTTGTTACATTTGCGCCCTCTTGACAACATCGGGATTACGATATCTTCGGTCTTATCGCAACGCAGCGCTTGCTCGACTCCTCTTAGGTCGGACATGAAAAATCTTGGTTCGCGTTGGACGGTCCCCGACATAGCACGCACTGCCGCAGCGCGTTCGTCATTTCTCGTCGCCATTTCGTTGGAACGAGATTCAGGTAGCAGCAGCAGCAGCAGCAGCAGCAAAAGCAACGTCCGCAACAGGAACAAAACTAGAAGTAGCGGTAGCACCCGTGACAGTAACGGCATTAGCAGCAGTAGTAGCATCAGCAGCAGCAGTACTCCTGTGACGGCGATCGACAAGAGGGAGAGCAAGAGCAGTGGCAGATCGGCAATCGACGTGCTACACGGAGCGCCCTTATCCGTCCGAGCGTACGTAACGGCGTCGTGTGACCGCATCGTCGGCACGACGCGCCTGGAATCGACGACGCCCAGGAACCGGCCGGTAGCCGAAAAGTCACGCCGCTTTCAGCACCGGACCCGTCGTCCTCGTCAGCCGCAGCAACAACTTTACTATCCCCCCGCGTCGTGGGACACGCGCACACTACACTTCAGGAACTGTTAGCACCGATCAAAAGTGAGTCCGGTCCATCGATGGATCATACTCCACTTTTGCCACATCCTCACATTGAAAACAAATTTATTGAATTTTAATAAACGTTTGTTTAAATAATGCTAACTAAACTATTTGCTGACAGTAAATAAAATAAGCGTTTACTGAAATAATAATACTTGAATCTCTCAATTTTATGGATACACCGGATAAATATATGTTTACATATTTAGTAAATATTTAGTTAGTATTATTTAAACGAATATTTATTAAAATTTAATACACTTTTTCAATGTATAATTCTTCATGTTTCATGTATCAGTTTCTTCAATTTTACTTTATTTTTTTCATAATTATTCAATAGTTTTTCAGATTATCTACAGTTCTCATTAATTTACTTCATATAAAGATATTCGTTAATTTACGTGAATATCAAACTTAGAATGCATTACTTCAGATATCACGATATTTTTGACAATAAATTCTTCACAGCGTTATAATATCCACTGGCAACATGGAATTTTATTTTATTTTTGACAGCAATAGGAAAAATACAGTGCATTTATTTATTGTTTCGGATTATATAGCAATCTGAAACAATTCTGTTATATCGTGCTTGTCAAAGCTGTAACAAAGAATTTTTATCATCATAAAAATCGAAATGTATTTTCATTTTTTATTTACAGATTTATCATTAGACATTCAACCGTCAAAATATCAATAATGTCTTTAAAGATCCTATGTTGCTAGAGGATTAAAGATGTTCATTAACATCAGTATATTAAATTGTTTGTCAATTTAATTTGAGTATTCTAACTTCAGTTTAAAATTATGTTTCAAGATCGATAAATAATCGACAAAAAATTCATACAAAATATTATCAGACACTGTAAAATTCACACAAAATATTATTAGGTTCCAACCTGCTTTGATTGAACATGACCTTCATTCAAAACAAAAGTAATAAGGTTCTATCCTAAATATATAAAACAATTGGAAAAATAATATCTGTAAGGACCATACACTAGCTATTCATGTGTTTCTTTGTCTTTATTGCATGACAACAATAAATTATTATAAATGTAAACGTTCCAACTGTATTTGGAATTATTTTCAGTACAACTTTTTAGTAAGTTACGGACTTTTAGAATTTTGTATCATTAGAAAAGAAAGTCGCAAATAAATCGTCCAATATATAACTTGTAGAATTCGTGTAATCGTTCATATAATAAGTTGTCAAGTACAATATAAAGTAGAGACATCGCGTTGAGTTTGTCGAATGATTATATATATATATATTTTTTTTTAATAATTTTTTTTTTAAATCATTATGGTTATGGTATTGTTTATCAGTTTGAATGTCGCGAATGTGCGAGTTTATATTGAGGCTACAATAAACTAAATTAATTCTTGATATTACGTAGTACATGACTCACGAGGTAAGAGTCATATGCTACGCAATTTAGTCTATTGTCAGCCTCAATATAAACTCACACATACACGGTATTCAAGCTAATAATTAATAATACTATAATAACGAAGATTAAAAAAACTATGTACATGTATATCTGATCATCAGATAAACTTGACGCGGTATCTCTACATTGTACTTGACAACTTATTGTTGTATTATATAAACGACTACATAAATTTTACACGTTACAGATGCACAATTTATTTGCGACTTTTTTTTAATGATAAAATTCTGTAAATCCATTATTTACCGAAATTGTATTGAAAATGACTCGAATATAGAGTCGAAACATTTACATTTATAATAATTTATTATTTGCGTATAATAAAGAGAAAGAAAGACACGAATAGCTAATGTATAGTTCTTATAGACATTATTTTTCTTCTTCATTTATTTGCGTTTAACGATCTTGACGAACGTTGCTATTAGTATTTTTTTTTTAAACGGTCAAATTCGCGTAAAATATTAAGACCTTTTTGACCGAATGGTCTTCTTCGCTCGCTTGTCAATATCTTTTTTTCATTCTTCTTCTTCTTTCAAATATTTCCCTATTCATATTCTCTCACTTATTATTCTCATGTTACGTTTCTCATTGATCGCGATTCACACTCGCAGGAAGGTGGCTCAGCTGTGCGCAGCCTAGACAATGTCCGAAGATTCTGACTCTATATCAGAGGAAGAAAGAAGTTTGTTCCGTCCGTTCACGCGGGAGTCCCTGGCAGCGATCGAGGCTCGCATTGCCGAGGAAGAGGCCAGGCAGAAAGAGCTTCAGCAGAGAAGAGCGGAAGGCGAGGTATGAACGCGGCCGTATGCGCTCGTCGCACAATCGCGAATTTCTAATTTTCTTCGCGTATTAACTAACTACATCGACACATAATTCGTCATGTACGCGTAGGACACCCCTTCAGTAGCGCCAAATAAATTACGCGGTCGTTCCATGACGATCGCGTTCAGGCATTTTCGTCCTTATTTCACGGGAACTCTCGGTGAGATTATTATTTGAACTATAAAAAGATCATATTGACAATTACAAAAAAAAATATGCTTTTGCGTAAATGTTCGTTGTACATAAGCTTGTTGTTCTCCAAACTCGTATCGCTGTTTCGAGTTTACTGTTGTATAATTTTTGAGTTAGTCATATATTGATTAGCGGGTACATTTATCTGACGCTGCTAATTTTCCCGCCAGGCTCGATTGTGCGATCAATTAATTTTCCTGTGTAATTACTGTCCTCTTTATACATATTCATGTGTACATATATATTCATATGAGACGAGCAATGTAACAATAAAAGTTTACAAGTCTTTAAAAGAAAGATATAACATTCGTTTAATTTGTAAATCCTATTGCACAACAGATCATCTTAGAGCTTTCAAAAATTCGTTTCTTTTCGATACCAACAGCCATTCATTGCGCCCACAGGCGCTTGTATAAATGTGCTAAATAAAAGTTTTGCATTGAATGCTACTCATACTTAAGATTCTGTTACGTTCATTCTTATAAAGTATCTTTATTAAAATTTTTAAGAAGATTTTAATAAAAATAATATTTTAAATTAATAAAATAAATACGTATTCGAACAAAATAAATAGAGAATAAATAGAGTATGAAATGGATAAAATATTTTTTCAAAAACGTCAGAAGTTATACAATAATACTGCATTTATCCAATACAGTTGATATAAAATTAAATTGATTTGAATAAACAAACAACAGAAATTTAAGATAGAGATATATCAATATTAAAAAAATTTTAAATTACAGTATTTTTTCGATTTATAAATATAACATATTTGTTTTCTAAGAGATACATTTTTTGATATTTAATAGAAAGTATAATTTTTTAAATCGATTAATCTTAAGTATGAGCTGCTTTAAGCGGCGTTTACAAGATTGAGATTTTAAAGCGTAAAATTTTCTCAAGCTTTAAGTCTTAAAGCTTTAAATTGACTAATTATAGTCGATTATTCTCCTTACATTCGATTATGATTGGTCAATTTCTTATATGGCCTAAGGATTAAAGCTTAAGTTTTGCGCCTAAAAATCTCATTGTAAGCATCGCTTTATCGTTAACCTTCTTATGCCTAGCTGTAGCGCCGTTTGCGAAACCTTTTCTCATTCATTCTTTTCTTACATATGTCAACTCGCAACAGGATTCATTTGTTCCCCTTATCCATTCGACTGTCCCCTTTGACTGTTTGCTTGATCTATCGCTAACGTAGTGAAGATGTAATTATCTCTTTATCGACGACTATCTAACCCCATTTGTTTATACATACATATATCTGTCGTCGAGTAATGTATTGTGTGTGTTACGAAAGATATGTCACGTACGAAGCTCGATGTCTGCAGTGCCACTTATCTCTCTGTGCCTACTTATACATAAATATCTACATAAATATAAATATATACATATACATATTTTTATGTGCGTGAATATCGCTCATGTGTCGTGGCTACCTCCACTCTCTCTCTCTCTCTCTCTTCGCCGCATTCGCGTTAATGAATAAAATAACGCGCGAATGCCACGCGATGGGAGATGATTATCATGGTGGAGCGTGCATTAATGTAAATCCAACGAATGAGTCCCTTACGTCCTTATAATTAGCGCTCCTAATTTGCCCCATGGCTATAACAGCAACACCGATAAAAGGAGCGGATTTATTTATTAACCTTCCTCCTCCTTCGCGTCTATCGTTCAACATTGATCGCGCTGTTTGAAAATTACTTTCGCAAGAGAAGCAAATCCTCTCCTTTTATTGCCTCCTTGTATTATACTCTAACGATGAAAGGTCAAGGAGAGAACGAGAGAGAAGCGAGATCAAGACTGGATTATCATCGATCGTCTCTCTCTCTCTTTTTTCTGCAATGAATCTTAAAATCTAAGAATGTGTCCGCTTGCTATTTTTGTATTTTTTTTTTTTAATATATTAATTGTAGCAGAAATTACTGTATGAAGATTAAACGTTTAAAAAAATGTTTCATAGTTAGGGAAAATTTTTTTTAAATAGCTTAACATAGTCGATGAGATGATACGGGCTCTAATTCTCTGTGAAAAGTGCCTACTTCGAATTCCCAGACAACCGTGTTTTCTCAACAGTTAATCCAGTCCCGATCACGCTTGATGCGCTTGGAAACCCTCCTTCCGAGTTGCCTGATCCTGTGTATTTTCCTATCGTATGTCTATGTCGTGATGTAACATTGTGTTTCTTCTCCTCTCTTTGTTGCCATCTATTTATCCTCTTAATTTCTTTCTCTCTCTCTCTCTTTCTCTCTTTTTCTGTTTTTTTTTTCCGAAGTCGCCCGATTCAGCTCTTATTTTTCCAAAAGCCACGGACGGAACCCTCTTATCGCGCCAATCCCCTTGTTATAGCATATACTGGCATATTCTTTTTTTTTTTCTACTCTATTCATTCACCGATATCCCCCGTATTCTCTGTATCTCTGTGTGTAACGACTGTTTCTCCATTTCTCCAATTTCAGGGAGGTTATGGACGGAAGAAAAAGAAAAAAGAAGTAAGACGTTACGTCACGCTAAGTAATACCGCTCTCTCTATCTCACATCCGACTCTTCTACCTTACTAACATACACACGTGCACATGTCATATACGTCACATACACACACACACACACACACACATATATATATATATATATCACACATAGTATATCACTGTGAACACGTGCGCAAACAGACACGCACACGATCTCACGATTTTTCCTCACTCGGCAGCATTTGGCCGATCGATCGACTAGACACGCGTCACTCACTCACTGCCCAACGCCACACATACGATACAATACTTGCTCACATTTTGTGCAGGGATTGAAAACAAGAATAATGAACTTTTCAGTTCCACGCGAATGTCGAAGAAGAATCGATATCGGTAATAGTCACGGACGATCACCACACTTTCGTAGCATACTCGAAGCTGCGTTTATATCGGAACTTTACACAGTCGATTTTACATTAATTATTGGCTCACGGATCATTTTGAATTTTATTAGTTTCTTTGTTTGTGTGTTTATCTTTGATATGTAAATCTTTTCTTTCCAGGAGTCATTTGTTACTGTTTTTCCTTTTGAATTATAAATAAAATAAAACGAAATAGTATACATTTTTTTGAAACAATAAAGAATAAATTGAAAGGCGAGTGTGTGGATGTAGTAACGGTGTAGTAATTGGAGTACAAAAGATTTCCAGTATATTTTTTTATTGTAAATAAAAGTAAAACGCTATATTCTCTGTACAAGAATATTTCAGCGGGAGTAATTTCCCCGATAAATTATTCGCGATGTTTGAATACGATTCTTTTTCGAATATGTCACGCTTAATTCACAGAGAATCGTATACAGAGTCGTAAAGGTTTCAATCCCTGGTTTTCCGCGTGCCACGATGTACATTGATTCCCGAGCGTCATCGTTCCGAATCGATAAATCGACTAGATAGATGTGCAAGTTTAATCCACGAGACATTGAATTGAAACGTTCTGATTAATTAATTCGGGGGGCTATTTTTAACGGAAACGCGCGCGCGATTCGCCTCCTTGATATCTCAATGTCGAGTATCTTTCTTATCGCGAATATCCCTTCTTCTGGATGTTACATCGTGGCCGAGAATATATATGATGATACAGTTTCACGATTTGCATACGCACACGCACACACACACACACACACACACACACACACACACGCGATACAAAGCAGCGTGCTTCTGTATATTGCCCCTTGGTTGTTTGCAAATATACGACACGTTCCTTGGCAAGTGTCTTGACGTCTTACGATCAAAAGCGAGCTGTGCTTACGCTTTAACGCGCGGCTTTCCCTCGAAATATTTGTCGTTCCCCAAATCTCTGTGCTTTATTACACGCTTATACAGGAGACAGCTTGGGATCCTTGGGATCAATTGTAACGGGAGACAATCGTGCGACATTTGAAACTCCTCGATTACTGTAAACGTTAAAATGAAAGATGAATCGTGCACATATGTCCCGCGTAAATGCAATACCAAAGTTTTTTTTTTTTTTATAATAAGTGCATCAACATTTTATTGACGAAGCTGTCGCAATTAATCCCAGACTCAATCACGCAATTAATGGAGTACAAGTTAAAGAGACGCATTAAACCTGATGTAACTTGATTTCAAAGACCGCACTTCAAATGTACCTAACTCGTATGCATGTTTGCGTCGAGCAATAAATTAAAATACGTAATTTCCGTCGTGATATATGAGCGCGCGGTCTTGAAAAATTCCACCGTCAAGAAATATCTAGGAAGTGGCAATACGAGAGATGCGCAGTAAACGTGCGACATAAATATTTCGAGCGGAGGTCGCGGTCGCCTGGTAACGCTTACACAGATCGTATACGCGTTGCAAATGCTTACGCTGACTCTCTTCATCCCGTTTCTTTTTTTTTTTTTTTTTTCAATTTCTTAATGAAATAGCGCGCGCTGTCGCAGCTGCCTGCGAAGCAAAGTGCGCGAGTCGCGCACAGCCGTGATAACGCGATGCATCCTCCGGAATCGTATTGATTTATAGTTGGTCGCGATAATAGAAAGTTCTACAACGGGAGAGAACTTTGCCATTCTGGCGGATCGTAGACAGCTCGGAACAATCTTAATCCCCGTCGGCGCCTTCAGTTGTGTTTGTCATTCAAAGTACACTGCGACGAAAGTCAAGTTCGCGCGAGAACGAGACGAGCTGCGATTTCCCGCGTTTCTCGCGCACTATGCTTGTATACGCTTCTTCCGGTCTCGTGATCGAATCCAACGACGTACGGTGGTCGGACTCCCGGATCGCGGGATCAACCCCCGGGATTCGATCACGAGTTTCGAGAACTTTCGGCGCACGCACGAGCACGAGTTTAAAGCTTTTCGCGCGCAGAGCTCGGCGCGGGCACTCAATTGGCTTGGGCAATTTCTAATTAGACCTAGCCATCTAGACCGTACACGGATTATATTTTAGCGTAGTCTTGGATTTATTAGGTGTAGGACAAAATTGTCTGAAATTGTTGACACATAATTGTGAGGAAAGGAAAACCGCAATTGAGATACGTATATCGATTGGACGAGATCTCATCTGCGGGATTTTGTGTCGCATTTTGCGGTTTTTGCGAAGTGAACATGTCGGCGACGGATCGTTTAGTGGTTAAGGTCTTAAACTCACCGCGCATAAATTTACATAAGCGCGTGAACGTATAGAATACGAACGTCCCCGGGCCCCATGAGGTATATACCGAGAAATATTACCGAGCGCTTTATTTCGGCCGAGACGTTTATTTGCCATGCATATACGCTTTTATATCAATTTGTGCGCGACTGAATAGATGAAGATCACTGGCCGCCGTGCTCCGTGCCATCGGCGGATCGGATAGAGGGTAGAATAGAGCTACTTTGTGTCTAGAGCGTTAGACGAACTAGTATCAGACGAGTGAGCATATAGTGAAAAATAGGAATAGTATCTTTCAATTAAGATTAAGCCAGAGATTCGAGCCGTAGGAGGGACCAAAGTCGAGCAGATTGCGTGGACCTTCTTCAGGTTCGTATGTTCACGACCCGTTTTTAGCACCGATCGAATTTGTATAGCGTGAATACATCAGCATATATCTATACCTTCTGAAACTTTTAAAGTGAATTGTCGCTCTGGAGAGTGAAATCTCGCACTCTAGAAGATTGAAAATTGAGCCACTCTTCTTCAAGACTGGCACAACTTCTCGATCTTTAATTTCACTTGAAAGAATTTGGAGAGTACATATATTTGGCTTGGCCTTTCACACTCTCGTGATTTTATTGTGGCAAATCATCGCAGCTAAAAAGTGTGCAACAATTAATGTAATCGTTATTTCTCGAGTTTTTATCAGCGATCACGGGACTCAGTAAGTTTGCTTCGGCTATTCCGAGAGAGAAACGAGATTTTCCACTCGTTCGGAACACGTGACAGTCGCACGCAATACGCTTACGTATTACCGTTTTCACTGGATCACCCGGTTGAGATTTTGTTTTGTGACGCACAGAGGCTACGACGATGCGGTGCAACGCATTGACCTCTCTTCTAAAAGCGGGTTATGAATAACTGGTGCACTTAGAAAAGTACGCGGATGAATATTTCCAAAGAAGCGATTTGTTCGAATATTCATACGACGGCACTGAATATTTCACGTTTGCGTTCTACATACGAGAGTCAAACACGATGCCATATGCTTTTCGTCCTTCTATACGGTCAAGTTTATATTTCTAGCGATATTACAGGGTGCTCGTAAATGGAAGTTTTAAAGTCACTTTTACGTGAACCAAATCTCGCGTAGAATATTTTTCAACGAAAGCATATCAAAATGTTAAATATAAACGATTACACGAAAGTCGATAAAATTATGAATTGACAATATTTAGTAACTAAACAATTAGAAATTAATTAATTTATACTTTCTATGAAAGTATATGTATATAGTATACACAGTATACTACAAAATGTTTTGCCATAACATTTGATGGAAGCTTTGAAAACGTATTGATAATAATTTATTTTATACATTTTCGTCATATCTTTTTTGCATTATGCATTTTTGTGTCGTGAATAATGGACTGCTGGGGAATATTTGAATATTAATTTTGTATTACATTCTATATTACGCGGCACGTTACCGTCGAATGGAAGAATGCAACTGTGCATACAGCTCAATCTATTGTCCGTTTAATTTACAGTCGAAGAAATCGATGTTTTGGAAATATTTATATCAACCGATTGCTCGATTATTTTTACTTTTTATGCTCGAATATGAAATGAGATATATGCGATGGCCTAATTTGATTTTTCAATTTTGTTGTGAAACGCGGCTCCAATTGTGAAATTAATGGAACGTAGAGAAAATTTTTACAAAATTTGAAACATATGAAAAGTAGACGAGGTCAATTTTTCTCCGACGTCATATATCCTTGACATATTCGCTTCGATAAAATAAGGAATGTTTCAATCACTCAAATAATTCTTGTTCTCTCGATAGAATTTGAATTATAAAGATATATTTTTATATTTTCATTACTTGCGATAATGTTTTTCTTCGAAGATTTAAACATCATTTTGCAAACTTCGGCAAAGTGCCGTGATAACGGTATGGCGAAAAATTACGCGTATTGGGATAATCTTACGAGCATCTCGTTCACAGGTACGGTATGACGACGAGGACGAGGACGAAGGTCCTCAGCCGGATCCCATGTTTGAGCAGGGAGCGCCGATCCCGGTCCGAATGCACAACGAATTTCCAGCCGAGTTGGCCTCCACACCTCTCGAGGATATTGATAGCTTCTACCACAATCAAAGGGTACCCAGGCATTGATGTACTAATTAGTTTAACTCTCTTAGAGGTACTGAGTTTTCGCGAGATACGGAATTTTAGAGTAGGTCCTCTAACAGGCGGCCGCTCACTATGACCGCATCTGGCGCAGCTATTTTCAAACTTTGGCTTTCACAAACTCGTAATTGCTTTGTTTAACTATTTTATGGTTATAATGGTGCGTTAAAAGCTGTACATCTATATCAAGATCTTTTTATAATTTGAGTTTACAAGCGCATAGAACTCGGAAATTGTGAATTTATCTTAAAAATATATTCTCCGCGGATATTGATATTGTTTTTCCAAGTCTCATACGATTGATTTTATATTATTATTATGATCCAGAAAATTTCTTTGTTTCTATGTAAACCGTAATAATTATTTTAATATAGTTTTCACGTATTAAAAGCCATATTTTTTATTAACGCTTCTACTTTTAAAACACGATTAAATTCGTGAGCTGGAAGCAGACTTACATAAATGACTGTCCCTCTATTTCTGCACTTTTATACTTCTGCACTGAATAAATTTTGTGGCACGTCTGTTCGTAGACCTTCGTCGTCATTAGCAAGGGAAAGGATATATTCAGATTCTCAGCGACGGACGCGATGTGGATGCTCGACCCGTTCAATCCTATACGGCGGGTGGCCATATACATATTGGTTCACTCGCTCTTCTCTGTTTTCATCATCACTACAATATTGGTTAACTGTATACTCATGATCATGCCCACCACGCCCACCATCGAGTCCACCGAGTGAGTATCTTTCATCGTCTTTACTTGCGAATCGTGACTCTATCGACGAGGATGAATAAGCGAATATTTACAAGAAGCGGAAAGCCAAGCTTTTCCGTTCTTATTAGAAACGAAACTATTGAAGAAACTCTTAATTAAAAGTTCCGGAGACCGGGATAAATCGATACATTTCTCAACAAGAGTAAATATTCTTTTCCAATTGATAATATTAATACATATAACGAAGTTATAGATTTGCATAACTTTGCAAAAAATAATGTTCTTAAGAAATACTTTTAAATCTTTTGTATACCTCAAAGACTTTAAAATCTAGACAGTTAAAAACTCTCATTTAAGTCTTTAAACTTTAAACTTTGAAATATTTTTTAAATATTTCTACGATTATTTTTTACAAAATTATATTTTGTTATTAGTTATATCAATTTAAAATAATATTTTAAAGGAGTGTACTTCAAGGTATTCGACTACATATGATATTATAAAAAATATCATTAACATTAAGCAATTAATATTTACAACAAAATACGCTGGTGATTATCATGCACCTCAAGTATCGTTTAATATTATTCATCTTAATATTTAATTATCATCCAATTAGACGCCCTTTTTTTTATTTTTTGATTATTTTTTTTTACTATCAGTTTTTTGAAATATTTGTTATTTAAAGAAAACAATCTCATAAATTTTGTCGCATTTTGAAAATACGTATAATAAATATAGAAAGAAAATAGACAAAAAATTTTTTCTTGGATACACGAATTCTGTAATAATTAAGATGACCCGTCACACTTAAAGTCTACTATTCTAAATGATTGTAAATTTATAAAATTTAGTTTATCGATACAAACCTAAGCTGCAAATCCGTCATCGATTATAATTATTTATTTTTAAGTTTCAAAATTTAGTTTATTGTTTTTACTGCCCCGTTTAGCTGTTTCGATATTTAATTAGCTAGAAAGATTTTATCGAAAGCTTACGGCGTGATCATCTGTTTAGTAGACATATTTCAAGAAATGTTCTACATGTTATAGCTCTAATATATGAGTAGAGACTGTGATAAATTGTGTTCCGTTGGTAAGTTTTGTACTAGTCTCTCTAGAGGTAGCACTAGACAACGGGCAACAAATCGCGCGAACGATTCAACATGCATTCTACTAAAATTTTAAATATCATTTCCGGGAGTATCTCAAAATTTGGGAGCGTAAAGTATACGTCTTTTATTATTTATAATGAGATACATAACTATTGTATGTAGGTATTAAATATAACTGAAGACTTGGAAATCTAATTTTTTTATTCTCTTGTTTTTATGATATTTTTTATATTTAATAAAGAAATATTATTGTGCTAATTGTAAGTATGATAAACTACTTTTTTTTTTTAATTCATGATTCATCACGCGCTGTGAATAATTCGTTCGCGTGCACCGTGCCTGAGATCCGAGTGTATTGTAGTTAATTTATACAGTGAGATAGAAATATCAATAGTTTATTGACAGGATAAAATAGATGTTATAGATTGTCGCAGAATTTAGATGCGATAAGTCTCGCTAGTAAATGTGATCATGTTAATTAATGTGTAATTTCTTCACTTGCATGTTTTTGAGTTTATCAATAGATTAGTTTTTACTGTTGTAAAATTTGCACACTGTAAATATGTAATAATAAACATATCTGTAATAATTAATAAGAATAGAAAATAATTACGAGATGTACGGTGGAAATATTATACGATAGGTATGATCACATTTTTGCGCGAGAGTATCGTTCAAGCGTGATTTTAAACGTGCTAGACAGTAGAGAGGATCACGCGAGACGCATTTAAAAAGCTGAGTGGTGTGTTTGTTGTTTTCAGAGTGATATTTACGGGCATCTACACATTTGAGTCCGCCGTTAAGGTGATGGCGAGGGGTTTCATTCTGCAGCCTTTTACCTATCTTAGAGATGCATGGAATTGGCTCGACTTCGTAGTTATAGCTTTAGCGTGAGTAGTTAAACTTATTCTTCTTAAAGAGAGAAAGGCAAGAAGAAAGAAAAGTAAAAGGAAAGTGAAAAAAAAACGGTAGAGTACAATGGGCAAAAGGATCGTGGCCATTTTGTCGAGAAAAAGTTGTGGAGTATTCTGTGAATACTAATAGAAGTGTTCCGAGTATCACTTTAATCTTTTTTATTAAATTGTACATCGTGCTAATTACTTCGACCTTGTAACAAGAAACGTTATTACGAAGACTAGAATTTATCGTGCCCTTAATTGTTTTCTTTGGATTACGAAAACTTGAAATAATTTCTAAAATATATACGAATATATGAAATTACTTTTACCGAAACTATAATTTAATACAAATTATTTTCGAATCAATTGGCTCTTAATAGAGTAGAAAAAGCAATAAATTACTAAAAAAAGAAATAAAGTGTGTCACGACGACAAGTACGGCAATCAAGATCGTGACAATTATTAAATTGGCAATTTTCCGTGCAAAAAGACCGGCAAAATTTGTACTGAAGAGTTAATCCAAAACGTTAATTAGTATCAAGTTAGATCTTTCCAGGTTATGACAGTAGACTTCTCCGCTAGATCCGTTGAGTACGCTAACGTAAGATTTCCGTAGCATCGATTATCTACTTATATATAATATATAATTCAATCTTCGTTCATTACGCCTCACAATCCACGCAAACACGAACGTGCATACACGCATATACTCTGGGGTGTACTTATATATCTATATATATATATTTAGGTACTTAAATTAGTTCATCTAGATAAGGATAGTATTATTTCTTTTAGTGATCTTAAACAAAAAGTTTTTAATTGCCATTCGTCGTAATACGTTGATTAGACATTAGTATGTCGAGTCGATCAGTCAGTTGATTAATTGTTGTAGTTTAGTACATTTTTATATACATATATTTTTTACTTCAGTAATTGTTCATAGATGATCGATACGTATTTCACTCGATAAACGAGTACTCGACTGCGGCTCGTAACATAGCCAAGAATCGCGTGCCACGAGATTCAATAATTGAACATAGTACTTGAGACATTGTCATTTTTTTTTTAAATAATTGTCAATCTGTTTTAACTTCAGATGAAAATATTAATAATATTGGAAAGTCACAGTTTTTATATGCTTTGAAGACTCAAGAGTACTTATTAGAGAATTGTAAAAGTATTTGTTATTGTAGAATATAAGCTCTTGACATTTTTTAATATAGTTATCTATATCTTTCAAGTAAGAAAATTTTCAAATGTTTTTTTTTTTTTTTTGAAATAAAGATTAACACATGATATTGCAAATTAAATACATGTGGTAAATATGAAATAATGCTAAAAATAATTTAATCATATCCTTAAAAGACAGAGAAAAATTATCGACGGAAGAAAATGAGTTTGGGAAATACACTGGAAAAACAATCTCGAAACCCGTGGCAAGTTATATACGGCATGTTACATTGAATCGTGCATGCAGTAATAGCTACCTTACGATACACATTACAGTTCGTGCAGATTTTTTGGTAGGAAATAGGAAAAGTAGCGAGTAACCGTTTGCGTAACTACGTTAATCCCGCCCTAATCTTCTTTAACCTGTTTTATCTTTTTGTTTGTATCACTGTAATGTGTGTGATGTTCGGGTGTATTGCAGTTATGTGACGATGGGCATAGATCTAGGCAACCTTGCCGCTCTCAGGACATTTCGAGTCCTCCGAGCCTTGAAGACTGTCGCTATTGTACCAGGTATGCTTAGAGTATAGAAGTGGTTGTAGATGCAAATACATAGTGTTTCTAGACAACACTTGTCGCGATCGTTGTGTACGTCTTCCGTATCTCATCACATATCTACAACACTTCCATTCACTACAGCTTGTATCGCCCTTCGCACCATTGCCCCGTTTGTCATTTGGTATTCTTACAGTATATACATACATCCGTCCGATATTCATCTCAACGAATCCGATTCCCTCCATATTGGTTTGCTTTCTTCCCATTCTTCCTTATCTCCGTTCCCGATTGCAAAACGAACTGTCAAACTCGATGCACGAAATTGCTTTGAATGGATGGAGACAGAGAAAGTTTGATCGTATATTTCATATCAGGCGATTTATCGTGAAAGATATGCTTCTGAAGATTTTTACGTGTTTCATTTTTTCATCATCTAAGTTGTAGGTTGCGCATCAAACAGATTTTTCGTTTGAATATAAAATTAACTCTTCATATTATGGAAACGAAACACTTGGGTACAGCATATTCAACCCAATTCGATTGCTTATAACTTCACACATATATATATTGTAAAGAATTTTTTTCAATCGAAATATTAGATATTAATCCGATCTATGCCGCGTAGATCGCCGGTGTGACCCACGTTAGACTTTTTGTTCAGATCGTTTGATGTTTTCGCTATAAAAAGAAACGTAGTTACAAAATATATTTTATATCATATAACACATAATTATATATGATATATAATGCAATTAGATCTCCTCTATTTTTAAGAATAATTTTTGTAATTTTCTAACCATTATAAAATACATTTAATAAACATGAAATGCAACCAAAAATACAACGGATAAAATCATTTAGAATTAACTCGGCATGAAACTTATTAGGAAACATAATGGTGCCGAGCAAATGTATGTATATCTTTATTAATAAAATAGTTATAAGCGATGGAAAAAACAAAGTCGGATATATTCCAGATGAATAAATAAAGTCGGATATGTTCCATATATGCAGAATGGTGTCGAAAGGTCAAACAAGTTTTCATGTCAATATCCATAAAATCGTGTGCATCGTGATGTTCTTCCCTATCGTTGAAAATTACATTTTCTTTTTTTTTTTTTTTTTATCGAGTCTGCCGAAAGGAATACTCAATTCGCATTCCGTATTTTATGCCTGCCTCGGTTGAACTTCTCTCGCACGACCAGCTGAACTTCTCCAGGTTACCGCCACTGTTGCTGCATGTTTCACGTTATGAACCTACTGTCATTCTGTTTTCGTTGTCTAGGTCTGAAAACCATTGTCGGCGCTGTGATAGAATCCGTGAAGAACCTGCGCGATGTGATAATCCTGACGATGTTCTCCCTCTCCGTCTTTGCGCTGATGGGCCTTCAGATTTACATGGGGGTTCTCACGCAAAAGTGTATAAAGAACTTTCCTGAGGACGGCTCCTGGGGTAATCTCACCCATGAGAGTTGGGCGCGATTTAATAATAACGAAAGTAAGTCGCGGTTCTTCGTGAAATTAATCCAAAAGCATACCGAGACATGTAAAAAGGTCATGTCATCTGCGAGACTACACTGTTAAATATTAAAAGAACACTGCGGCAAATCAATCCTTTGAGTTAAATAACATCCTGTTATTTTTATTGTAACTATATGTGTGTCAAAATGTAAACCAATTCATTTCTGGTTGAATTACTTAGTTTTAAATAGCAAGAATCTAAACATATGCACTTAGTAAATAATAATTTAAATTGGAGTCAAATTTAATACATTTCTTGAGTTAGACTTCATTGTCTTTTGAACAATTTCACAGTTAAATCAACAATATATTGAATAGAAATAGTGATGACTTTTAGAAATGATTGGAAACTTAAATTAGATATAATTTAACAATATAAAAGTGATCTTTGCCACGTTTCTTGAAGTGTTTTTGTGATTTGACTTTTTGAGATTCTCGAAGTATAATTCACCATCTAAATTGGTTCTCGACTATTTCAGTAGTACACCTTTAAATATAATATAAACTGTGTTTATAAAGGGTTTTATGCGAGATAAACCGAGGTACAACCATCTGTACTAATTGATTGCTTCATGAAGATAATAGTCTTGTTTCAAATTAATTTCCAATAACCCATTATTAAATTGCATATCCAATTATTAAATCATTATTTCTTTTATGCAGCTAATTGGTATTTTGACGAAGCGAAAAATATACCCTTATGCGGAAATTCATCGGGAGCGGGGTAAGTTGATAATTTGCTCTCATTTATGATAATAGCTTAAACGAATTTAAGATCAATGTCTCCATAAGAGAGAGAGAGAGAGAGAGAACATAAAAAAAAGTTCTTCCGGAAATATATAATATTTGCGATATTGATGCGAAGGGCATACAAAACAGTGATATTTTCTGAATATAGGCAGTGCCTTCCCGGATACACGTGTTTACAAGGATTCGGCTCTAATCCGAATTACGGTTACACGAGTTTCGACACTTTCGGTTGGGCATTGCTCTCCGCATTTCGTCTCATGACTCAGGATTATTGGGAGAATCTGTATCAATTGGTACTAAGATCGGCCGGACCATGGCACATGCTTTTCTTCATCGTGATCATCTTCCTCGGATCCTTCTATCTCGTCAACTTGATCCTCGCTATTGTCGCGATGTCGTACGACGAGTTGCAAAAGAAGGCCGAAGAGGAGGAAGCTGCCGAGGAAGAAGCTATGAGGGTAAGTGAAACTGGAGTCGATTTTGAAAGAAAATTGTCGAGATGCTAATTGAAATTTATCATCAAGAAAAGAGCTTCCTTGACATGGATAGTAGGAGCATATTCAGAGGAAACTTTTCAATAAAAATTATTAATTATATTTAATTTTTTAATTAAAAATACAACTTCACTTTTGACTCTTATCTTATTTCTCCTTTTCTTTTTATTTAACTTTAATATCGTATTTTTAATAATATTTAGTTACATTTTCCATATAAGAAGAACTCTTTTTCTACAATATTTTCTTATCTAAATTCTTTAAATTGATTTTTCTAGAAAAATTATAAATATTTTATATGTAATAATATAATAGTAATATTAAACAACTACAAATTTTTTTTTAAATAACTGTCCATATTTTCTGCAGTAAAAAAAGTTATGATTTATAAAACGTAATATTTTTTTCCGTTCAAAATCATTATTTTTAAATATTTAAAAAATTAATATTGATACCATCAATATTAATGTTAATAGGAAGCCGAGGAAGCTGCACTAGCAAAAGAGAACAAACTCGCGGCGAGGGAAGCTGCGAAAAGTATGGCTGCCGCCGCGGCATCCGCCGCCGCGGAGGCTGCGGATCAAATCGTCAAATCCCCGTCGGATTTCTCGTGTCAGAGTTACGAGCTGTTCGTCGGTCAGGAAAGGGGCAACGACGATAACAATAAGGAGAAGATGAGCATACGTTCGATCGAGTCCGTCGGCGACCACAGACACATGAGGCAGATGAACAACAATCACAACGCTGCCAATAAAGTGCGGAAAGTCAGCGCCGTAAGTATCCCGCTGGACGATGTGCAACATATATTATATACGTATCGACCTTCTTACGCGTCATAATATACCGAGTTAGCCCTGTTATCAACCTCATGATCCTGCCCCCTACGACCTCGCTCCTACGAGAGCAACTTACGCGAGGCTATTCGATCCGACTCGACTCGTCGATAGTCTGCGATTAAAATCACAAAATTCAGAATATTGATCGTTTTCTATCAGTCACTGTTCTTTGCAACATAGGACTGAAATGATGATGCATTGTATTGTAAGCCCGAAGGGACTTCTTAGGTCATTAGGGCAAACTCAGTGAATCACAACGAATACAAATCCAGGCGATTAGGCAGTAATAACTTATTACTGTTAGTACGCATCTCTCGAATGGATAATGGTAAACAAAATATATTTGACAGGTTGTGTATATCTTTTAATTAATATTAGGAAAACGTAAATAAAAATATAAAAACCTAGCATACTTTGATATCTTATTTGCTTTTAATATATAGAAAAAGGAAAAAATCGCGACGAGTCGAGCCTTTCCACAATATTCCGCTGCTCTGTAGTATGCTTGGCGTATGTATAGGATGTCCTAAAAAAGTCTGCTAAATTGGAAGTTATAATTGGGATAAATTTTTAATATGTGTGTGTGTGTGTGTGTGTGTGTGTGTGTGTGTGTGTGTGTGTGTGTGTGTGTG